CCCCTCTCCCCAGATGGCAGCCTGCGGCAAGTGCAGCCGGACTGATGGCCGAGTGGTGTGATGTGCCCAGTGTGGGCACTCAGGGCACTCCAAGCCAGGACTGCTTTGCAAGCGGGGCACCCCTGAGAAATGTCTGTCCGGGGTGGGGGTCGGGTCCCTTTAAGCACAGCCCTCGGCTAGCCTGAGGCAGCATCTCCACGCTCTAAGTCCTCCTCTGATGCCCTGCCGGCACTGCTTCCGGGCATCCTTAAGCCCTGTTCAGGGTCCACTTAATGTGGACATGCTAGTTCGAATTAGCAAAACGCTAATTCGAACTAGTTTTTAGTTCTAGACGCGTTAGTTCGAATTAGCTTAGTTTGAATTAACTAATTCGAACTAAGTTAGTTCAAACTAACTCTGTAGTGTAGACATACCCCAAGCCTGTCTGTCTATAGCAGGCTTTTTATTGATTATACGCCACAGACCGGGGCATAAGAGCAGGGGTGAATGACAGAAGCAGCCAAGTCACAAACATTGATAGATTAACCATGTTCTGTCCAGATCAGTGTGGACCTTTCTATATGTACTGCGTTTTAATGAAATATCCATTTCTGACCCTCCTGGGAAGCTGTAGTACAAAAAGTGGTGCGTCCTCTTTAAAAATGTAGGTTGCACGTATCAGCTTGCGACCAAGTACACAGGCCTCTGGAACCAACAGGGGATCGTACTAGACTGAAATAACCCTGCCTTGCTTGCTGCAAGGTACTGCCACCCCAAGAAGTGTTTATGGCATTTCTTCCTGTTTTAGAAAGCACACTGGCAGTTTCCCACGTAATGAGTTTCCCTGTGGAGAAGGTTTTGTTTTTAGAAACTTTGCTCTGAGCTCTAACTAAACCCCGATTCTCAGGAGATTACATAAGGTTGTCAACATGAGGATTGCCAACATGTTTTCTTTGCGCACACATACACACACCCCACGCCATATTATCATTAGTAAGCAGTACTCACTTGCATTCGCTAGGTGTGTTCTTGCTATTTTTTACAGCACTCAGCAATTCCAAATCTTGTATCGAGATGAAAAAATAAGGGACTGTTGGCAGCCTTAGGCGGTACTGAGCACCCTCACCTCCCACTGAAGTCAGCACTTATCCAGAGCATTCAGCACCTCCCCCAAATCAGACCCCAGCTCTATAGATCCCTAAGAGGCCAACTTTTCCTATCCCTGCTACTCTGGGCTGAAAGGAAGCATTTATGCCTTGTGCCTATTTTAGTTAGTCAAAACAAGGGATCTTGTTAATCTTAAATAGGCTCCTATGTAAGAGTTCCCTCTCCATGAAGCACGAGGTCTGAATTGAAAAGTTCTTGCCAGAGCAGTGAGATTTGGGTAAATAAGTTGATCTATTTATATTGCTAGACTGAGAAGATGGATATTTTTAAGCCCTGAGAGAAAACAGGGATTCTGAATACTGTTTTGTCAATTGTCACAATACGTCTGAAACCTAGAGAGCATCTCTGCTGTTACCTCCATGCATGCCTCTTAGCCCAGTGGTCCCCGAACTTTTCATGATTGCATTCCCTGCTCCTCCTGGAGCCAGGGCTGAGTAGGGCCATGGCTCCTGAGGAAATGGGATAGAAAGCAGACGGGGTTAAGGAGCTGAGGCTGGATCCAAAGCTGTGGGAGGGTCTGGGGCCAGAATGGAACTGAAGCCAGGGGCAGGACTAAGGCAGCTGGGACCAGGAGCAGAGCCGTAGCTGGGACTTGGGTTGAGGCTGGAGCTGCTGAGCCAAGAACTGAATCCGCAGCCGGATCACAGTTGGGGGCCAAGGCTGAGGCTATGAGCAGAGCCACAACCGAGAGACAGTCTATGGCCATGGCCAGAAAAGAGCTGAGGACAGGGCAAGGCTAGATAGTGCTCCTCTCCTGCCCCCCTGGTGGCTGGGCTGGCCTCCACCATACACCCCAAATGTTCTTCGGCACCTCTCTCCCCACCCCCCATGTCTTAGTCCTTTAAAGAGATTAATCACTTCTGCAACCAGGCACATTTCAGTACTGAAGGCTTCAATAGCAGCCACAGCATGGTACACAGAGCTTCACAAGGAAGGACTCTGCAGATTGCGCTGATACAAGGCAGAATGCACAAGCACAAAATGGCACAACAGAGTCCCAGTGTCCAGTGTGGTGCAAATGTATTAGAATCCATGTTTATATTTTAACAAAGGAAATGCTTGGAAAAAGTAACACAAATGCATCCCAGCTGATCGGATCAGCACTGGGAGGCCACCTGATGCGAGAAGGAAGAAAGATCTCTGCCGCCCCATGTGGGGAGGAGCCCCTTGCTGCAGCTCTTTAGGTAGATTGGGGCCTTCTGCCATCTCGTTTCCTAGTATAGGCTGGGTAACTGTGTGGGGAGGAATTGGGGGGATGGGGATTGCCTGACCTACCCAATCCCATACAGGCAGCTGTTTTAGGAACATTACAACTCCATGCACAAGATCCTGGGAGATTTGGTGTGCCCAGTAATTAAGGCCGCACGTCTGCCAGGGAAATCACAAAAGTCATGAGTCTGGAGACTTTCCATGACCTTTATGACTTCTGCTCGCCCCAGGAAAATCAAAACTTGCTTTCTTCTGCTTTTCAGCTGTTATAAACAGGGAGAGAGGCAGTAGTGCTCCTCCGCTGCTTATCAGCTGGAAGGCGGCTCCTACGCTCCTACGACGACAGAATGTGAAGTTGTGAGCGAGCCCTAAAAGAAGTGCATAAAGTTTCCTCCTCCCTGCCAGGAGTGCGCGGTTCCTGGCCGGGCGGGAGGAGACTTTGCGCACTCCCCTGCCACCAAGTGCTGATTGGCCTGGGGGCGGAGGGAGCATGTGAAGTTCCCTCTGCCCTGCCCCCGCGCTGCAAGGAGAGCACAGCACTTAGAAGTGCCACATGCTCCTGGCAGGATGGGAGGAGACTTCGTACGCTCCCCTGCCCACAAGCCCTGACTGGCCTTGGGGGCAAAAGGGGGAGCACATGAAGTCTCCTCCCACTGCCAGGGGCATGGGTGCCTAGGAGGAACCTCGGGTGGGGGGGGGGCAAAGGCACTCCCCCACCCCCAGACCAATCATGGTCTGTGGGTGGGGAAGCAGGAAAGCATCCTGGCCCCGCCCCTTCCACTTGATGCCCCACCCCTTAAACAATTTCTGAAGTGGCCCCTGGCAAAAAAATATTGCCCACCCCTAAATTAGATGGAGGACTGTAGAATTCAGGCTAGCCTCCAAAAGAGGCTGATGGTCACCTGGAAGAGGTGTCGAGTGAGCGTATCTCCCATTGGCCTGGCCATTCCTTTTCCCACTCCCAGGCCAGCCTCAGCCTCCCTAGCAGAGTAGAAACTGTGGATGATTTATGCCTTGGGCCCCGACCCAGGTCCATTTAATGCCTCTAGGAGTGTTGGGTTTTGCTGGAAGTACTCCCCAGTAAGTCACACCTTACCTTTGTAATGCTAGCAGACTCTGTGTGGTTAGAACTAATGCTCAGAAGTCTGCCCAGAGTCCACTAGCCTTAAACTGCCAGTTACACTTCTGGAAAAATAATTTTGTTTTCTCTTTTTAAACTTATCTTGTTAACCCCCTGTCTGTAATGGGAATAAACTTTCAATCTTTTGTGCAATTAAAGCTCTCATAGACTCTCCACCCGGTTCCTGTGCTTCGTTGCCAGCGTTACCATGGAGTTCTTGTTGCTCTGTTCCATGTTGCCTCAGATTTAATTTTGCAGCTCACCATACTCTAAAGTTGGTTCATTTGTCTGCTATCACATCCACCCACGCACATGCAGAAATATCATAGTCATGGGTCATATTTCCTTTAACAAACGAAGCTCAGAAAAGAGTCTATCGCTCCCACGACAGCAAAGAGAAACACAAAGTCTTAATGTCAGAGAAGAGGACAAAGTAGAAATATTAACTCCAAATTTCTCAGGTTTTCTCCTTTATAGAGAGATCTACTTTTTCATTTGCTGTTTCCTTATGAATTGCATCTTCAGTGAGTAAATGTATCACAACAGTCTGATGGCTACCCACAAAGTACATATCAAGGGGTAAAGCTATCCCTGATTTAACACCACTGACTTCAGAAGAGATACATCAAGCCATGGGTAAATCTGGTCCTACCTGTAAAATATAGGGAGGGCTGCTCCTTTGTTCACAGGTCTTCTCTTTTAGCATTTAGTTACCATCTCTTTCCTGGAACACAAACCAAAATGCTTTGAACAAGAACATGAGTCTTCAGTAAAAAACAAAGGCTGAAAACACTTAGAGTTCCTCACACACTTCCAGTTCCGCAAACTTTGTTGCTTCTTTTGGTCAAATGCATTACATATACCATGGATGCTTTGCATTCTTTCATTTCACATATCACTCACACCCCAAGGAGCTAGCCTCCCTGTGTGCCACTCTACTTCCTGGTACTTCCCATTCACTTCCCATCCACCTCTACTTCCTGGTACTTCCCATTCTTCCGTCCTCCCCATGCCCTGTCAACCATATGATAGCAGCTAAGATGCCTTGTCCCCTCCTCTCCTCCAACCATACCATTCCCCTCCCTCATGACAGGCACTCTGGGTATGTCTACACATCAGCGTTATTTCAGACTAACTGATGTTATTCTGAAATAATACAGTGTGCATCTACACTACAAGCCTTTATTTGGAAATAATATCGAGCTAGAAGACTTCTTACTCCAACTCATGGCAACCCTCATTTCACAAGGAGTAAGGGAAGTCGAAGGAAGAGTGTTCTTCCTTTGACTTCCTGTTGTGTAGACAGTACCAAAAGCCGAATTAAGCTATTTTGCAATTTCACAATTGATGTAGCTGAAGTTGCGTAGCTTAATTTGACTTCAGCCCTGCTGTGTAAACGTACCCTCTGTGTCTGTGTCCCTCTTATGTCTGCACATGCCAAGATCTGTGGGTGCTCCACATTTCCCTTATGTCATGGGCACTATGTGGCCTCCTTTCCTCCACTTTCCCTTCATTCCATCCCACTCTCCACGTTCTCATTTCTTTTGCATCTCTCTGGCAGTCTAGAGGGTGAGCAGAACTAAAATGGGGGCCATTATTACGCTGAAATATCCCCCGTCAACTGGTTCTTTGGTCTACGGTCAACCACAATTGCTAACTCTGCTAACCAGATGTCATGGGCTCTATCTGTCCCCCATTTCCATGTTTTTGTTTTTCTCATTGTCATGAAAAAAAAAGGAACAAGGTTTTGGCCAATGATCCCTAGAACAGTTCCTTGAAATTTTAAATTGATAAGATGCTGCATTCAAAGCTTATCACATTACAGACAAAGAAATGTCACAGAGGTGTCAGACAAGGTGGGCAAGGTAATATCTTTCATTGGGCCAACTTCTGTTGGTTAGAAAGACAAGCTTTCAAGTCAAAAAGTCTAGAGGATATTCACTCACCTACTTTGTCTACTATCTCATTAACCTATTTAAAAGACAGAAGTAAAAACAAAAAACACCCCCAAGTTTCAAAACCCATTTAAGATTGTTAACTGAATGACAATGCACCCATTATCATAACAAAGTACTTTAAAGGAAAATAACATCTCACTGTCCATCTTATGCATTACTAGAAAAATATCTAAGATAGCTTTAACAGCAATTTTAAATATTTAACCAAACAATTCTAATGTCATTTGATACAAGGTTTTCCCATATAATACTATCATTTGAAAGAAAATATTTTGACACTGAAATAAGGCTGTCCAAAATACATGGAATATCATTTTTAGGCTTAGTATGACCATTATTATGTAGTGGAAGAAACTCAGTTTTCTGAACACCAATCCTATGAAGGACAAGTTATAAAAAACGTGTCTCCCCACTCTGGACAATAGTCACATAATGAAATGGATCTCACTGAAGAACAAGCTGACAGTTCTTCACATCCCAATATTTTCACACATTGGAAATAACTTGGAAGCACAGGAAGCGAGGCAGTGTGCCCTGGTGCAATTTATGCACCAGACCTGCCATCATTCTGAGAAGTTCAATTGCCTTAACTTTTTGATTTTATGAACTGCTCCAGCCCCAATGAGTTCACCAAACAGAGGTTCGACTGTACTTGAAAACAATTCACTTTG